GCTGTCAAAGGTCGGATCTACAACGCGTCGGTGAGAGCAGTTCTGCTCTATGCTTGTGAAACCTGGCCTCTCCAAGTTAAGGATGTTAGATGACTCTCTGTGTTTGATCATCGTTGTCTCCCAAGGATTGCTGACATCCAGTGGCAACACTATGTCAGTAATGCAGAGGTTCGGCATCGTGTGTTCGGGCACAGAGACGACAATGCGATTGGTGTCACCATCTTGAAACACCGACTTCGGTGGCTTGGACATGTTCTACGAATGTCGTCCCAGAGAATTCCACGTCGTGCATTATTTGCTGAGGCTGGGACTGGTTGGAAAAAGCGGAGAGGTGGTCAGTGTGTGATAAGTTGTCGTGGTATGAAAGAAAGCTGTAAAGGAGCTGGCTTGTGTTGGTCCTTCACGACTCCCTGGCTGAGGGGTCCGAGAGATGGTGCGACACAGTGGTTAGAGACGTTATCAGATGTGGCTTAGAATAGAAGCCAGTGGCGATCTTGCCGTAACCTTCTTTTACTTTCTTCATAAAAAGTGGTTGTATCTTCCTTAACTGAAAGAATTCTTCTGGTTGTGCCTTTCCGTTTCCTCTATTATTATTATTACCATTATTATTATTACTACACTACCTTACACTAATCTGTGGTTGTTATTGTTCTTTTTTCCTTATACGCACCTTACTCTTTTTCTCTTCCCATTCTGATTGTTTTGAGTGGCGCATATATATATGATGCCCCCTTGTACCAATATTTATGTGTTCAAACAAATAAATAAATAGAACTATTAAATGTGATCTTGGCAAATTAAATTATATTTAAAGCAAATTATGAATAGTTTACTAGATATGTCACTGTTTGATATGATGTCACAATGAAGTAATTTCTAATTGATAACTTTAAAGTGTAAAACGATAAATTAAACAGTTTTATAAATGTGTACCATAGTCAACAAAAGTTAGTAATAAATATGAAAACATTGGAAAGTTGAAGGAGAGTAAGGCTTTCAAATAGTGCAGACTTGTTACTGATTATGAGCTGAATAGAAATATTTCTCCATTTAATGTCACAACGATGTGTTGATTGTAGAATAATCATCCGAGTGACCGTTTTATCGTAAGTTAAAATGAATACAGAGAGTAATTAAAATCATATCTGAGAGTTTGGGTAACTGATTAAATACCTAGGGTTATCTTGTAAAAGGTAATGAATTTCTTTATCAGCAAACTAAGAATAAAGTGCACAGTATCAGGTTTAAAGTTTAACGATTTGTCGAATCCCATTTTCGATCATTGGAAATTAAACTACTCAGTTCGACAGAATACCTACAATACGAAAACCTACATATTCAAATTTGAAATTCTGTTTGGGTTCTGTAAAAATTCACAATATATTGTTGTGATTGCAACCACTGAATGTCCGTTTATAGGGACAAATATTCCAATAAAAATCACAGAAGAATTAGTCTGGCTACTATTGTGATCCAAGAGGATAGCATCGACAAACACTCAAAGCTTAACTGGGACTCGCAAACGGTAAATGTGAGAAAATCAAGCTAGTTTCCGACCTGGACTTAAACGTACTGATTGAACATTTACTGATCCTCATTCATTTGGATATGGGCCTAATAACAGACGCCCAATTTCAGTTGTGGTTAAGTTTAAATATAATATAATACAATAATATCAAGAAAGTGGTCTCAAGGTGACGGTAAAAATATTACATCATGATCCTGATAACATTATGACTCATTCTAATGAAGTGAGCATGATGAAGCACAAGAATTCGAATTGTTAAGAAAAACACTCGTCTGCGAGAGATAAAATTGCTACCAAGGGATCGAAAGAATTATAAAATGCAGCAATACCTTGTGATGTCTGGTGGAACAGAAAGTCGATCAGCAGTGAGTCCTTTTTCTCTCGTTCTGATTTAATATTAGAACAATTAAAGCTCTTGGTAGTGAATTGGATAATAAAGATCCTGCTTACAGCTAAAACTTCTTTGGCAAATGTTTCAGAACCAAACAATACGACCACCATTATCTTTTGATAGTGTCGGCGTAGTCGTTAATATGGAAAGAGCCATAATATGTAAAAGAAGAAAAACGCCGGATATGTAAGTAATTCTTTTACGTAACTGTGCTTAAGACTTTTTAAAAGTACCCGAGGTAAAACGGTATATAGTCATGTGGACGGATGCCTATGTCGGATTTTTTTTAATTCAAGGCAGAATAACTGATAAGCAATCTAGAAACATTCACTAATCACTCAGAAAATTTACATAGTAAATTCTTTCATTTTGTATTATAAATTAACCCTTTATATTTTTCCTCCTATTGGCCGGTAGGGGATCAAACGATTCCCAAGGTCAATCTAGAAATCCCCCAAATTCACCATCATACTTTAACTCAGCCGTCAATATGTCAATTGAATTTCTATTAAAATACTTATTCACTTAAATTATCTGATACTGTTCCTTTCATAATTTTGCTGAAATAAGCTTTCCACTAACAGCAATAATAATTCTTTTGAAGAAAAGAATCTACTCCATTCCTAACGTTGTATGTTAATATTTAACTGTTTCTCAAGTATTCCAGCATATGTTGATTATTGACTTGTGAAACTAATTATGAGTGTGACTGAGATTAAATATAGTACAATTTTTTTCAAAACTTATAATTTTTGAAAATAGAATTGTGCCATGTATTCAGTTATTGATAGAACAAGTTACAATACTAAAAACTATACGACGGACATTGAATAGTTAAATAAATCTCTCCCAACTAACTTTAAAAGAATAACCAAGTTTCGTCTTTTGTTGCTTTGTAATGATGAGGAGTCTCAAACAAAAGCAAAACAAATACTTAACAATCTCTAGATTTTAACGGTATTCCAACTGACATTACCTCCTAGTAAAATTATCCTTAAATGATAGGAAATCTCTAGACATTCATTGTGAAGATATATCTATCTAAGATTTATTATAAAATACTAATGGATTTTTCAAGCTTAGAAGTGATTGAAGAGCACTAACTGGAATTTCTAAATAATGAATATATTCAGTAGATGAAACAATCACGTAAACGTAACATTACCATCGTGATTCTTAACTCAATAATTTAATAACACTAAAATAAATGTGAAATGTAATGAGTTACATCAAAAGGACAGAGTTCGATGGAGAATACTGGTGGGCGGTCTATGTAAAATCATGAGGGGTAACAGGCGTAAGTAAGTAGTGAGTTACTGAAAATGGATTGATCTTTCTTTTCGATTAGATTTTTCACTAGCTCGGAAAATGAGACTACTTTTTGGGTATGGAAGCACCCGTCCTTAAAGTCACTAACTTCTAGTCTGAGCTGTGTTGTTAGATGCAGACTACCTGGTTGGGGTCCGCGTAACCATCGTAACCAATGGTTGGAGACTCTGGGTGACATGGCGCAAAATCGATAACAGTAGCGTCGGTGTACATACTCTCTGTCTTCCCTTAAACTGTGAGATTAAAATTACTTTATACCTTTCTTTCTACGAACTAATTTTTTCTTCCCGTGCCATATCCTTCTACGCAATCTTCCTTTTTATATATTACTATCATTGAAGTAACTACTTCTATGAATCTAGTGTACACCTTCCTGTACTAATGAGGTATGGCAACTTGAACCGAAGCATATATGTGCCTGGCCCTACGTTGTAGATGACTGACTGGATATGAAGGAAACTGGATGAACCAGATACATTAAAATGAAAACTGCACGCCAATTGTTTGATCACGAATCAGCGACTAAAATTTAACTGTTAGGTAAGGAAGCATCTTCAAATGCCTGTTAATGTTCGGATAGTAATCTGAAGTGTTACCAGTTATTAGATAGGTGGCCACTAATACCAACAGATAAACATAGACGAATTTGGAGAAATAAAAAATTACCAACGACTTATTTTACGACGGTTACGTGAACTAACTGATATAGAAAAGAATAAAATGCAATTGAAACTTGGAAGTACAAAGTACACTACAAAAAAGTAAAACCTAGATCTGAAAAATCAAGCCACTGAATCATAGCTGCATAGATTTACACTATATATGAGTCTCAAACTAAAGCAGACCAGCTCCCAACTGTTCTTCAGTACTAAATAGTTTTCTGATATCCGTTACTGATGAACCGAACACCGAAGTCCAGTACCGATTTGCGCACTGCTGAGGTGTTCCGTACTAGGATGAAACGGTCATCCAATGCTTCCAAGTTTTCGATGGTGGTCCAACATCAATCGATTCATGATCTTAATCAAAAATAAGTATTTCGTCTACATTTTTCAAACCTAGACTATACAAGTTAATAATGTTAAACGACACTCTATTCTTCATTATCCTTGTCTCCGAAGCATTGCTGACATTCATTGCAAACAACGTGTCATTAGAGCTCGGGTTCACCAACGCATGTTCAGGTACAGTGACCACAAATCACCTCGTGTCACCATTTTCGAACACTGACTTGGACACTTCTTATGAATATCATAACAGCGACTCTCACATCATGCTTTATTTGCCAACGTTCAAACCGGTTAGAAAAAGTACAGTGGTACCCAGTTTATGATATGTGGTTGAGCTATCAAAGAATGTTGTGTGGGACTGTCATAAGTCGGTCCATCATGACTCCCTGGTTGGGTCACACAGATGGTGCAACTCAGTGCCTTGAGATGTTATCATATATATATATATATATATATATATATATATATATATATATATATATATATATATATATATATATATATATTATTAACAGATTAGCGTTTTTTATTTTTGTTTATATATATATATATATATATATATATATATATATATATATATATATATATATATATATATATATATATAAACAAAAATAAAAAACGCTAATCTGTTAATAAGGAAATTGTTCACAAAGAACTTAATTCGCCTCCATACTTCTCAGTAAGGAAAAAAGTACTGATCAACAATATAACCATTTTCCTGAGTGAAAAAAATATCACATAATCATCGAGCTTAATTTTATTTTAAACAATTTAATGTGTACACAAATCTTGAGAACAAAATCAAATAGAAAATACCTATGTACAATGGTAACTGATTCAGATCAATAGTCGCTGTAATGACTCAAAGCGTAAAGAGCAGCGCGACCATTACATTGTCCAACACAAAGAAATCGCCCACCAGGACTAAATCCAATTGATGTGGGTTTGTTTAAAGTACCAACACGAGCGGGAAAGTTTTCGAAGATTATACTTTCGTTTACATCATACTAAAAATAAATATGCACAAAAAGAAATTAAACAGGAAGAAAAATGGCGAAATCGATAGGAAGCTATTAAGAGATAAAGAAAAGGTTGATCATTGAATGTCAATATTCAAATGCATTATAACCCAATTAAACTAATCTTTAAAAAATCTCGTTATATAAAATAACTAACCATTTTTAATTTAGTAACACAAATGATGATGAAGGTTTAAAGAAAACCTCGATTAACACAGGATAATAATCAACAAGCTTTTGAAATAGACTCCATCATTAATTCGATTTTAATTCAACCACTGTCCAGTGAATGATAGACATCTAAGGAATTAGGATTCATTACAAAACGTTTTAAGTATATTTTCCTACTAACATTAAGGTGACATGTCTCAACAAGGCTAAATTGATTGAATTTTACATAATGACTAGTTCAACTTTCAAATACACAAAATTGTGATGAGAAATTTAAGATTAAAGATAATCGAAAGGAATATTCCAAGAAAAGATGATATATTAAGGAAGCATTTCGATGTCCAACATTTGCTGTGGTCATAAAATCAAATACGATAGATAATATTAACAAGCAGAGAATAGTGGATACAATTCAACATTCAACCTTATTAACGATTATCTATGTGAATATTAAAGATGATAAAAATCTACTATTAAACATCAAACACATCTATAAGCTACATAAAAGCCTACCATTATAAATATGAATGAAAATAAATTTTAAAATATTAGAACGTGTTAAAGTATGAATTAGGTAGTATTTCAAAGGTCACTGATCAACTGAAACATTAGTTTAACCGGCAATATGTAAACCATATTTTATCGCCCCAAAGGAAGAGAGAAATAGGACATTTTCATGCCTATAATCAAACATCGGTGTTTGAATTAACTTCTAAACTTTAGGCACTCACAAGCCACTTGAAACTCAAAAACTTAAGGAGACAATAATACAACTAAAAGATACACTTCAAAATTAGTTTTACATGTATAGACTAGGGATGATTTACATGGACATAGATGATTTCTTAATTCGAAAAGATGCTGTAACACATGGTAAAATTAGTAGCAATGTATGCATTTGTTCAATTAGATAGTGTTATACACTGAATTCAATGACATTTAAAGTTTACATAAGATACTGACGAACCAGAAATCAATGTTTTAGATTATAAGCTTATATGTGATTTTAAGGGGTAAGTTTACGCCTAATAATCAACAAAAAATACGTCAGCATTTCTGTCAATGAAGCATATGTATTTAAACCACTAACAATTTTTTTAACTGAATCAGAATCCGTTGATTCCATAACAATAATAATTTCGCCATGATTGAACAAGAGACTGTATTATATGAGAGAGGTTGAGAATCCATCAGATATGTTAATTTATCAGGATAGGATATTGTTTAAACTCCGAGAATATCCGCCTAGATATTTTGACGGAGATCCGGCAGAACACGCTAGTTTTATAAGTAGTAGACAGGTGCTTATCCACAAGTTTTTGTAGAAAACGGATCACAGTAAGTGCTTTGAAAACCAATGACATGGAAATAAATTTATGAACCAGATCAAATTGTTATCGTAAACTGAAAGCCAACGAGGAAGGCCATAAGATCCTAAGAGTAGATTTTAATTTAACGACCATTTATTTTCATCATCTCGAAAATCTCTGTTGACCTTCCAAAGCCAGTCGAAGTACTCTTCTGACATTCAAATGACAGTAATAATTCACACTATTGAATTGCACTGGAAACAGCCCCTGTCTATTGTTTTAACAAATACATTAACTTTGATTCGTCAGTTAACCCTTTATTAAACAGGTACATCACTAAGACTCTTATAAAACATACGTATTTTATGGGGTCTCCATCTAAAAATATAGGTGTACACTCTGTCAGCTTCACTGGAAACTTATGTAATGATTTGAATAAAAAAAATTATCCAGATAATTAATTAACCTATTCGTCAGGTGTTTGAGAATGAACCATATTCAAAGTGTGTGGGCTATCGATACCACTCGGTTGCCCAAGCCAAAATAAGTAAAGCGGACTTTGAGTTCGTGAAAGTCAAAAGTTTTAACCACCAAATGACACTAATAAATTATACAAATATGATAGCTATTAGGAAAACATACAAGTCGAACAGCATCTGGGCGTTGCGAAGAAGCCAGACAAAGAATTTCATTAGAGGGGTGAAAACAAAGCGAATTAACACCGGTAACTAAATTACCAATAGCTTTATCAGGTAGTGGATTCTCTGTATTCATCGTAGATGACCATTTGTAAACATTTACATAACCGCTATCTGCCCTGTTGAATAAAAGCACGTAAAAGGTATGATAAGTAAAACTATAATAATAAAGAAAAATAAAACAGAACTTCCTTGTGTATAAATAAATTATGATTGCATTGGAACTAGTTAACGAACCAAACAGCTTTCTGATAAATTCATAATCAGAGAATCAAACTTACAATAATGGTTATACCATCTATAACAAGAAAAGAACGTTCTGACCAATAAATTCTGTAACGATGGACAAAATTTGTAGTTCAAAATGAATATTTGATGTTGTGCTCAGTGTAGAAGATGGTTTTACTGTGAAACTTTCACTGTTTTTCTGAACAATGCCAAGATTCTTTACCTAATTGATGTAACTAAAGATAATTTGAAAACACAAGCAACTGAAGTGATTCTTCATGTGATAAAATTGCTCATGAATCATTACTAGTTCTAATCATCTTACCAGAATGAATAAAGATAAGTTTGTCAGTTGAACGGGTAATCCAAGAGATTTACCTCTCGATTACAATTATATAACATCCATTCAATCGAAGAAACTAATTAATGCAAAATACGTGCAGTTTATAATATATTGTGAATGATAAAGAATGAAATCTACTTTGACATTGAAAGTTGTGTAAAACAAGACAGAAATTTAAAGAATATTTGAATGCAATATAATAAAAATTACTTGAGACAAATTGTAATGATTAATTTCAGTTCATCTTAAAATGTGTATTATTTAATTCAATGCTGACTGAAAAAAAAGCGTAGTATGTAGCATTTTATGTCAAATGTATAAAAAGCTTATCGTAAACAATGCGTTGTATTTACCACATCAGTGACAAATAGATTGTCGTGAAAAAGTATACTGGTTGAAAAGATCATAACTTCCCACAGTGCACTTAGGGAAATCAATAAAAAGGAATAGAGACTAAAATAAACAAGGATATGAGGTAGGATAGGGAATCATATGGAAAATGATAGGGTATCCAGAATTTGGACCAACAAGATTTGGGTACTTCGCTACTTTGGTCAAACTTGATCAATGCTACGGAAGGTTTTCCTGACCATTGATTTCTGTCATACTAATAACCTTATTCACAGTATAAGCCTTCCTACAGTACACAGACGAATAGTTAATATCGTCATGAACTAGTGTCACCTTACGATTTAACCCTTATCTACCTTCCAGCTTTATTTTACTTTAACCATACTATACGTCAAATCAAGTAATTAGTTCACATCAATCAACCTGATCAGTGGCCTTTCACAATCAAGCGGTTTGGGATATTGTCTATCCCGAGAAATGACAGTAAATCTGAATCAAGACGACAAGTTCAGCTCCTACAATATTACACTTAGCAAACATGAGCTTGCAGATTTAAGTAGTAAGTTGATTCATACAAGTCGTGCATGAGTAAATGTTATAATAGTTAGCTAGCAAAATCGCAACTCAATGGCTTGTAACAAACTGTTACACGTAAATTGCATATCTCTCCTGTTTACAAGGTCAGTATAGATAGAAATACTGTCTAAACAAACCGGTCTTAAAATATGGCTAACAATCGACCATTTCAGACATTAAACTGTGAAACTAATCAAGACCAATGGTTCTTTCGAAATCACAAACTTACATCGATAGTCTATCAAATAAATACATTTCTGATAATCTCTTTAATAAACCGTAAAGATTTAATCTAATTGACCAGAATTCTTGCTTTAAATTTACACAAACACACAAACAAACAAACGCATGACAGAGCGAATAAATTAAATCGAGTAGAGATTAATATTTAGAAATCACATGGAAATAAAAAGGTTTGAATTGAGAAAGCGCCCTACACGCAATGTTCATTTCATTTCAGAACTTAATGTAAACAATGAACAGATGAATAACAACAATAAGTTTTCAATGCTTGGAAAATATCACAATATATCTCAAAAGTGAGTTTGTTTTGCCCTGAAAGTGATATTTTTAAAATGAGTATACTGAGAAATAATTAAATTCTACGGATTAGATAAATTCTATTTTTAAAAAATAAGGAAAAATTGGGAAGAAAAGAAAAAAGAAATGAATGAAACTATTTGGTAAATAGTGCCTTATATTAGTTTAACATTCATCTATTAAATAAACAAATAGACAACACTGAAAATCAATAAAACATGAGAAACAAGTAAGTTGGGAGATCATAAGAGATTTTTTTAATTTCACATTTTTTAATCAAGCATTTAGATTATTTAGTATTACTAGATTGCTACGTTTGAAGATATCACGACATCGCCTAAAACCGGCGAACGGAACGAAAGTCGGCAACACTACATCAGGACAAGCTATGCTATCCCACTGCGCCCCAGCCCTGATAACTAGAGAGAGAAGGTCATATTCAGCTGAAGGAAATATATATTCCACAACTCATATATATATATATATATATATATATATATATATATATATATATATATATATATATATATATATATATATATATATATATATATATAGCGCAAAAATATCCTTGGAAAACGCCACAAAATAGCGTACTAAAAAAAAGGGAACGAACCAATGACATTTAAGGTCCTTCCAAGTAAAAAATACAAACTGAAGGTAAAAGTGGGCACTGTTGTCGCGAAAATTTAGAAGTTCAAATTTCCAAATGATTTCTGGGAATCTAGCATCCTTAACATAGATATATGAATTTTCCAATGAGTGGAAAATAAAACAAAATTGTTTTTACTGATGACAACAGTCTTATCAACTAGAATTTACATATATCTCAGTTCATACATTATAATTCCATCAAAGTTCTTTTATACGAAGTAATTCTGCGTTGTAGAGCGACTGAATTGATACGGAAAACAGATAGATGTATATTGTTAGATTTGGTAAATTTAAAAAATATAAGAAACAGCATGTGTTAATGTGAAGAAAAATCCTCATCATATCCGTATTGAGGAAGTTCGCTTGTGGAAGGAGTGTTTTTCAGCCAGTTCAAATTTTGTCTTATACACTTATTCCTAATCAGACTTAATTTTATGTAAAGTATTTCTCCTACGAGACGTTCCCTATGATTTTTGACATTTTCCTGAACGATTTCAATGTGATTCTAGTCAGTCTTATGATTTGATATTATAGCAAGTGAATCTATAGCCGGTTTTCCATTGTCCAAGTTTCTCAGTGATCGAAAAGAGGCTATACGATAGTTACTTTTTGATACTGATTTCTCGAGAATTTTGTCCAATATATATTGAGTCACATCCTGAACATCATATTTCACAGATACGATTAGATTATGAATTCTCCGGTGTTTTTTGTTTTTCGGATGAACGAATTCGCTTTGTAGTATCTAATGCTTTAAAGAATACGCTGAGGTTACATTTGTTGAGATTTCAGCTGTGTGTTCTATATACAATGATGATTGTTGTAGTTCATGATTCCAGAGTAATTTTTCGGTTAGGCTTAATATTTGTTCCTATTTTGTGAACAAAATTTATTGGAGAGTTAGTTAGTCCTTGTTCAATTTCCTTGATGTTTGCTATCAAAGTGTGTGTCCTTCTTAAAAGAATGAAGACAACTGGTGGAGTGTAACGGTTAAAAATCAAGATATTCGCCAAAGTTTATTTTCTTACTGAACAGTCATACTAAAATATCCATTTTCTTTACGTTTAACTAAGCGATTCAGTGCTAACTGATTCTAAATCTGAGGTAAACATAAAACTGGGCGATTCATTGTTCAGTTTCCCCAAAAACAAGTGGTGTATAATACCACGAAAGTATCAACGTGTTTTTAGGTATATTTCTAGTTTAAGTATGCTTAAGAATACACCGAATGTACACCTGCATATATTATTTATGAATAAATTTGCAAATAAAGATGATGCAGGTGACCGCATTGCTACTCTAGTTGTTTGTTGATATAAGCTCCCTCCAAATATACAGTAATTCGTTTCGAAGAAAGATTTTAAGGCCTTGGTTATCTAGCTGGTGTTCAGTGTACATATTTTTGATAAAATCTCTGATTTTATTAAGCTAAAAATGATATCAAGACTTTTGACAATAGGAGTTCTAGTATAAAGTGAGATCAAATCATTGCTCATTATAATTCCAGCTTTGTCAAATTTCTGGTTTGTTATTTTAACTATTCAATCAAATACATCTTTAACTATATGTTATATGTGTATTTTTGTTACCCAATACCTAAATATTTTCAAATCATCATGTCTAAACTTAGTTTCGATAGCTAGGCAAAAATTTGGACTACTTAAGAATTAACTAGACCAGAATAACTGCAATACAGAAAATTATGATTATTTAAGTTCACAGATTTATTTTTAACCTGTAACAATCAATAATAATAGTCTAATTAGTGAGTTGCTGATTAATGGTTAGGAATCAAGTGGTCCTGTCTAGTAAATAACAATCGGTTGTTCACTATAATAATAATAATAATAATAATAATAATAATAATAATAATAATAATAATCATAATAATAATCATAATCATAATAATAATAATAATAATAATAATAATAATAATAATAATAATAATAATAATAATAATAAAAGAAAATAAATAGATTTTAAAGATCGTATCATGAAGTCACTGTGTTGACTAAAGTTCTTATAATTGTTATTCAATATTCATGAGCTGGTAGTGCGTATTGAGTAATATTTATTCCTTAGGTTAAAGATGAAGAAACTCTATACAATAGAATTTATTTATACACAACAGTTAGTTCACTGTTTAAAGTCAACAAACAAGGTGTTCTGACAATATCATCTGTATTCACGAAAGAAAATAGAATCAATGAGTGACTTATGCCCTCATAACATGAAATTATTTAAGGTGAAAAGTATTTCTAAGAGAGTATATATATGCGGATTACAACCACTTTGCAACTTCATCAAAATACTACACAGAGTATAGAAACGTTATATTACTGAATATGTAGAAGTAGTATTATGTTTAAGAACTAAATGATAATAAGAAATAAATGTATCTAGACACTTTGATTGATGCCGAGATACACCACTTTTAGTCGTCCAACCATTGATTACAGTTATTTTAGCGACAACAATTAATATATATTTGAACCTCAAAAACAGCGAAGTTAATAGATTAAATAAAGCAAGAACAAATATTGATGCTTGCTTTATTTAAATTCATAAAGGGAGCTAACTGCATGAAGTTAATAGTTAATGAATTCGTAGATTGGTGTTCTATAATAATCTCATTGCTTCCGATCTTTTTTCCAACTTACCCCCCCCGTACACAACTTAGTACGGAACATCAAAATAGACAGTGGTCAGATATCTGTTATCTACATTTCAATCTCAGTTAAGATAGATTCACAGTATAGTCAACCTATTTAACAATTGGACAGAGATTGAGCAAAATAATTATAGATAGACGACGTACATTAGTTATCAGCTAAATGTAACACGTAGTTATGATGGTATCTATGATTCATTAACTAACAACAGTAATGCCTTAACACAACACTTAACAATATATAAATATTTAATATGTATTAAATTTAATTCACACAAACAGTGTTGTTTATCTGAAGTAATAAAGTAAAGAAATGAATCGACTATTAGTATAATTTTTGCTAACGATTACTAATTTTAATATAATTTTGATCATTTGTAGACGATCAGTTAAGATCAATTATCTTACCCACAAGCAATCCATTGTGAATTAGGTGAAGAAGAGATAGATAAACCATTTGTACTGGCTTGATCAAACCAACGATGAATAATTCTAGCTTTATTAACTCGTAGATCAAATACATAGATAGAACCTTCAGCTAAAATTAACCAGATGAGAAAACTATTAAAACTAACAATAGTAAATTGTAAATTTAAAACGAGATAGTAAACAGTTATCATTGATTATATGAATTATAAAAGATAAGTAGGACACAAAACATTATTATTACAATGAAGCACCGGTTTGAGAGAGTCCTTATTAAGATACTCTCTTAATCAGTTGAGGCTCAAACTTCCCGGTTAGGATTTGTAGAATAACCGTAATCCATGGTCAGTGAACTTAGGTGATATAGTTCAAGACTATCCTTATCGAAAACCATTCATTCATTTTTTTAACTTTCTCAAAGTACTGAGTATGACAATATTTTACATTTTATGATTTCGTGAGTATTTTACAATTTGCATTTATTTAGTTGACCACTACCATTATTTTATTTCCTATTCTGTCAATTTCTTCTTTTGGTGATATGAACTTTGACAACGCGAACAGATGCATATTTGTATCAAGTCTAATGATAATTACTTTTATCTGTCTGTTCAGTATCTTTGCTACATTTTCATAATAGTGACGATCAGAAAAGACGGCAAAATATAAATCACGCTACAAGTATAGATAAAAATTCGTGGAAACGTTAACTCAATTTTTGTTCAACTTTCCCGCTGGTTTAAACCCATTCAAGCAATTTTGACTAACTGGATTGCACTGATATTATTTGCACATACGTTTTAACCAGACAGTCATCAATGTAAGGTATGGCACGTTTTACATCAACACAAATAGAGGAAATGAACAACAAGAAAAATATGCGACAGTGAGTAATTTTAAAAACAATAAAAGTCTGCAGATGGGAAACAGTTCAGAAGGATGACATCGAAGAATGGAGTTACGTATGAGTACGGTAGTTTTCCAACCGAATACCTGCATTCTAGTGTATATGAGTTGCACCATTTGCATTGCGAATTATGCGAAACAATTTGATGTTAAATAATCAATATACAAAAACACGAATCATATTTTCTTCTTCATTACTCAAAGGAATGTGCAAATAAAACTAAACAAACTATTCAATGTAAAGCTTTGTTTTGAAACTTACCCCCATAAGTATTCAAAAATGTTCCATCTTGAGTGAAACAAATTGAATTGGTTATACCACTTGCTCTCATAACTGAAATTTTTTCTAAACTCTGTAAAAACAACGGCGAGAAATAAGACAAACTTATTCATTTTAGGATGATTCATCATTTTCTAACTTATAAAAGAACTGTATTTCATTGTACTTTAAATGTAATCATCGTTATTTTCAGACCCTTGTAGAAGAGACACGATCAACTCGTGTGGACAAGAATATGAGGTACATACATAAGTGAACTGATGATACACAAGAGATAATCAGTATCATACTAGACAGGTTGAGCTTGGATCTTCAAATACTCATTAAATGGTACAGACTTTATTATCGATGTTATCTGAAATAACACTGCTTCATCTTGGAAGTAAAATTAACAACACTGACAGCTTTTCTTCACATGAAAGCGTCTTACGGATAGTAGTGAGTGGTAAACAACAATATGTGCCAAAATAAGATGAAAATTGATGATTGTTAGTTCTTTTAATTAATAAGTGTTAGTTTTTAAACCAAGTTGATAGTCATATTTAGATGAGTGAATAAAGGAATTTGTAATATATCATGCACTGATGTTTCCAAAGAAAAAAAATCAAAGACAACTTACACGCAATCTATATTGTCAACACTATTTACCGAAGATTTTAAAAATATACCACAGGGATAGGTGGGATAATATTTATATATCTATGTATACACATATACTAATCGAACTAATAATTAATAAGAAACAAGAAAATTATGATTTGTTTAACTAATATATCAGTAGTTTAAATAAGTGCATATGAACGGAATCAAATTAATAATGTAACTAATTTATCAAGTACAGATTTTATCTCCTCGGCTATGAATCACATTGTTTTTATGATGGCTAGTGATATTATCCGCCTGCCAAAATCGAAGTACGTGGAGCAGGATTTGAAACTATGATCTACTAGTTGAATGTTACGGACACCAACCCACAGCTTTGCTTAGATAACCAACTCGTTTTTTTACGTAGAACAGTAAATCATTCCCTATCTTGGGAGAACTCAACAGAATTACTAGATAACCAACTTATTAATGTCACATTCAGTTAGCATAAAAAATGATTTACACTCTTTAAAGACAAGGTAATTAGTTTGAAATAAGTAGTTTAAACTAACTCGTAAATCGGCCAGATACACAGCACTTCCATTGGTTCCCAGGGCTACCAAATTTGGATGAGCTGGTGAAATAAAACATTTAGTGATTGTTTCGTCTTTTGATGAACCAATAAATCGTCTTGCACGACTTTCATTTCCAGTTTCTAAATTATAAATCTATCAGATACATAAATAACAAACAAAAAAACTCATTTCGAAAAAAAGAACAAGGAACAAACAGTACAGTAAGTAGATTTTTTAAAGTCTAATTCGGTCGAACACCGGCTTGATAAAAAGAAACTGTGTAGTGTTTTACTAAAAACAATGGCACCATAAAACGAGTGTATACGATAAGGTATAACACACCATACAAATAGACAACAATCAGTAGTATGCTACAGGTCGTGTATAACAAAAGGAAGGTATTCGTATTAAATAAATTCACCAAAAAGAGTGGTTTATTATATTGCCAGTGGAACATGTGCATTGATAACACCTAACTTAACTACTCCACAATAAAATAGTACTTCCGATTGTGTTCAAATGATTGACTTCCATCACAATTTGCAAACTGTTTAAAGCCAATAAAAGGCTGATTCGTTACAAGCGGGTTAATTTATATTTTCGGTCGTGAATGCATTGACCCAGTCTTCACACTGATAAATATTGAGACATCGTCATATTTATCTCAGGTAAACAATTGTTATTATTCAACTCGTTGAGCAGGACTGTATTTTATTTATTTATTTGAACACATAAATATTGGTACAAGGGGACACCAAATACATATGCGCCACACAATACAGTATTATGGGATTATCCATTTAAGGAGGGTATCTAGGGAGTTTATTAGCATATTAAAGCATCTATGTACAAGCAACTCGGGTAGAGCGAGAACATGCAACCACGTCTCTCAATTGTTCAATCCCAGCAGTGGGGTTAGACATTTTCTACTATTCTGCTTCAAATTTCCCACCGATGACACTCTGGAAAAAGTAGTGGTGGAGAAAGAAGTGTAAATATTAAATACTCCAATGATATTGTCTCCCCATAGGATGACACTCAACCTATGCAATCCATACTTAATCACTTGACGATTAATGTCAGTAGGTTTTTCATGTTCTATTTACCGTGCAAATGCAAAATAATCTTTCGGCACTGGAACGAGGCCCTAACTGCACTCGCTCTTGATGGTAAACCGCTAAAAGTGGTCGAAAAGTCGATGGATCGAGGCGCCCTTATCATGTTAACCTGGTTGTAAAACATTCAGACTACAACACAAAAGTGAGATCAGTATTTCCTCCACACTTTTCAAACCTAGACTATACAAGTTAATCATGTTAGACGACACTCTATTCTTCATTATCGTTGTCTCCGAAGCATTGCTGACATTCATTGCAAACATCGTATCATTAAAGCTCAGGTTCACCAACGCATTTTCAGGTACAGTGACCACAAATCACCTCGTGTCACCATCTTCGAACACTGACTTGGACATTTCTTATGAATATCATAACAGCGACTCTTACATCATGCTTTATTTGCCAACGCTGAAACCGGCTGGAAAAAAGTTCAATGGTCAGTCAGTCAGTAACAACGTAGAACTTTGTACGTACGTACATCAGTTCGAGTTGCCACACCACCTTAACACAGAGATGCAGTTGTCGATCCAAATCCCGTAGTGGTAGAGGTAGCAAGAAAGTAAGCAGTGATCGGGAAGCTTAGGGTTTGGAGATGTTATTTAAAGAGTATAATTCAGTGAAATAAATTTGGAAAGAGGAAAAAAGAGACAAGGGGGAATCAGGAGATCAAAATTTGGGAGAACACAAAGAGTGGATGCACCTGCGCCATTGCAAACGATTTTGAGCCATGTCATTCAAGGTCTCTAACCATCGGTTGCTATCATCTCGCGGTCCCCAACCAGGTAGTCTACACCTACCAACATGACTCAGTTCACTTGTCAATGACTTCATGGACTTGAGCCATGTTTTGGTCTGGCCGCCCCTAACTTTCTTCCAGCCCACTCCTACAACATGAAAGATCGCACGTCGGGACAAACGATCGTTGGGCATACGTAACACGTGTCCCAGCCATCTCAACTGATGAAGTTTCACTACTTCATCAATTGATTTGCCATCCTTACCAAGTACCTGTTTCCTAACAATTGTGTTACTCCATGGTCCCATGATATACGAGCAATGTTTCGAAGACACCTATGATCAAATACTAGTAGCCTACGAATATCCTCTACTCTTACCGGCCATGTTTCACTGCCATAAAGTAGGATGGGACGAACTACTGAGCAGTAAATACGTCCTTTGGTTGATAGACGGATATCTCGCCTACGCCATAAATGACGCAAGTTGGCAAAAACTAGTCGAGCCTTCTGTATCCGTGCTGAGATTTCGTCGCACACCAGCCCACAAGGGCTGATGAGACTTCCAAGATAAGTGAAGCGGTCGACACACTCAACTACTTCACTCCCTATCACTAGTTCGGGTGTCAATGTAACCCAATCCTGAAGCAACATTTTGCATTTCGAGGGAGAGAATCGCATCCCGAACATGCTTGCATTGTTGCTTACGGTGGTCAGAAGACTCTGCATTTTGTCAGCGTCTTCGCCAAATAAAACTGTTATCGGCATATTCTAAGTCAACAAGTGAACCTCCTGGTAGAAGTTCAACCCCTGGAAATTTAGATGAGGAGAGTGTTATCTCTAAAAGTACGTTGACCACAAAGTTGAACAAGAATGAGGAGAGTGGACAGCCCTGACGAACACCACTTGATATAATCAATTCTGATGACAGTTCGCCATAAACTCTCACTCTATCAGTTGTGTTCGAGTAGAGAGCCTGAATAAGGTTAATGTACTTCTTTGGTACTCCTTTCAGTGATAAATACTGCCATAGAACCTCACGATCAACAGAGTCGAATGCCGCCTTAAGGTCGAGAAATACTATCATTGTGGGGCGTCTGAATGTGTGTCTGTGTTCTAGAACCTGACGTAGTGTGAATATCTGATCTATACAACCACGTCCAGGTCGAAAACCGGCCTGGTTTTCTCTAATCTGCTCTTCACGAGCTTCGATTAGGCGTCGAAGTATTATTGAGGCTAATATTTTAGACACTATATTAGTCAAACTGATTCCTCTGTGATTGTCACAAGAGGACTTTTGTCCTTTCCTAAAAACTGGCACAATCAGTGATTGAGACCAGTCAGATGGGATTACGCCCAGTTCCCAAATTCTACCTAAGACCTCGGTTAATCTCATTGCTAATACTGGACCACCATCCTTAAAAATCTCAGGAGTAAACCTGCCAGGGCCTGATGCTCTCCCTCGTTTCAGATTTCCTATGGCTTTTCAACTTCGTAAAGAGACGGAGGACTTACATTAACTTGCCATTCAGGTTGACTAGAGATCGTGGGAAACCGAAGTGTGGCTAAAGGCCAGTTGAACTGATCCCTGAAGTGTTCTGTCCATCGATCCAATCTCCTGGACTGAGAGTGTATAATATGTCCATCTTTCTCTGAGAGTGTTTTGCTAACAGTAGGTTTCCTTAACAAGTCTGAACAATTGTCTGCTATTACCTATTGCCGCTGCCTTTTCCATCTCTCTTGCTTTCGCTACCCACCACTGTTCGCGATCATTGCGTAGACTTCTTGTCAGCTTGCGCTTAAGCTGACTCCGCTCTTCACTATGTTCAGAGCCAGGCGGAATGAGTTTCCGAGCATCTATCAGTGCGATAGATGCTGCTGAGATCCAGTGTTGCTCCCTAACCTTCTGGTTTACCTTACTAGCAGATATCACTGCTGTTTCCACAGCTTTTCGGATATCATTCCATGCTGCATCGGGGTGGGCATCACATACATGGCTGCCTAACCGTTTTCCTAGTTGTTCCTGAAATATACTCTTAGCTTGACTATCATTAAGTAGGGCCCTAAGAGGTTTACTTGCAGCGTCTTTCCTACGTCCAGTAAGACGCAAGCAAATACGCGCTCGCACTAGAGCATGATCTGAATCTAAGCATGTGCTCCAGAATGAGCGACAGTCTTCTATCGAGCCCCTTCATCGGTGGCTGATAGCGATGTGATCTACCCAATTTATGACATGGGGTTGAGGTATCCTGTACTATATCCTTATATGCAATCTTTCTTTTATATATTACCACCTCTGAATTAACTACTTTTATGAGTCCGGTGTCCATCTTGTTGTGTTATTGAGGTATGGCAACTTGGACCGATGCATATATGTGCCTGGTCCTACGTTGTACCTGACTGACTGACTATCAAAGTTGTGTAGGACTGTCATAAGTCGGTCCATCATGACTCCCTGGTTGGGTCATACAGATGGTGCAACTTAGTGACTTGAGACAATATTAGACATGGCTCAAAAAAAATGTCAATGGTAGTCCTGCCGTAATCTTGGTTTACATGTTCCGTAGAAGTGAAAGGAATCTCTTTAACTAAAAGAACTCTTCCTAGTTCCATTTTTTCAACTAATTTGTTTTTTTCCATCATAATTTATTCCCGACAACATACTTCCATTCATCTATTTACTAGACTATAATATCCTTTTTTCCTCTATTCTTTCACTATCTTATTCCCATATTTGTGTAGCACATATTCATTTTAATTCCCATTTGTACCGATAAACAGCTGGAAGTGAAATCAACGTTCTACTTAGTATAAGTAACCTAATAATAACAGGTTAGAAGTATTTGTTTCAGTAAATCTTTATGAGGAAGTTGGAGAACATAGACACTATAAATCTAATAACTGTTCATAATTACAAATCAACATTAATAAAATTTACTGTGGCCAGAAAATCAAGAAAAATTAAAACAGTTAAGATTAAAACCTACTTACACGAAACGAGCCAACATTCCCGGTAAAAATAACTTTATCACCGTAAGCTGTAAACTTAGCTGAAGAAAGAGAAAAGTTTTCATACACACGATCACGCAGTAGTGCATTTTCCGAGCCATCAACCTATATTTCAACAGGACATAATATATATAATTAAACTTCATAGGATTATGTAATTTCAGTAATCGATGAATACGATATACTGCTTTAACCATTAGATCAAGGTGACAGTAATCACTTAGAATTTGGAAGCACGAGATATCCCCTAGCCCTAATGTGTAATTGAACCATAATCAAACAAGACCACCATAAGGTATAGCAACATTGATCATGTAAGCGGCAAAATTACTGAAAATAACTTTTACAAGATTTATCATAAATATTCGCAGTATTCAAAACTGGAACTCGATAATCAATGCGAAGTTCCAAAGGCATGAAAAGATAAGGACGCAAATCCATTTGATAGTGAATGATACAACGGAGGGAAAAATTATTTTCTGTTACGATAATGGGACCGGTGATTGAGATTGTACTCAGTCGCTATACTATACACAGACGAGTCACGTTACGCCAGATATGCGGTTCACAACCAATAATAGGGAACCAGTATTTATTTATTTTAACATAAATATTAGTACAATGAGGCCACAAATAGATATGCGTCACAGATCTCATTTGATATGTGTGAGGGCTGTGATACTGCCCGGGTTCAGAAACCGAAGCAGGGAACCAGTGTAGACTAGAAAGTACTTTATTCAACACAATTATAGGTAGTCTATATTCGGTGAATTCAAAGCAGAAATCTGTAGCAACCAAATCGCATAATTAACAGACAGTGAGTTGAATGTCTATCAGTTCACGCTCGTTGGTGAGTTACATTTACTTTCACTAACCACATATCAAATACACAGTAATTGGTTTGGTAAAACGAGTCAAAAGAAAATGAATCTAACTTCTGGAACTGTGATATACGTTTATTATTTCGACAGAGGTTAAGTTTGTTTCTGTAAAACAAACTATACACATACGAAAATTAGAAGTGATGTTTAACCTCAAAAGTAATCCCAATTTACACTTATAATTTCAGCACGAAATAGACAATTTGGTTCATCCTATGTATATTTTTCAGTTATATGATGATACTCTATACTTTGAATAGGACTTAAACAAAACTTTCAACATTGGTAAAGTATTCAAAAGATCGATAAGGTATTACAAAGAATGAGTCTACTATCGATAACTGAACTTGAATGACTTCAACTTGGTAACACCCAAGGAGTTCAAACATGAAAAGTGAATATTACCTTATAACCCAAAATACAAATTTCAAACAAGACTTTGAGTCACTACTTTTTCTGAGGTTTAATCATATCAACCAGCTGTTCGCACTAGAGTAGATGATTTATGTTTGAAAACCAGTAATTCACCGTTTCATTGAAAGGTGAAGTTCTCAACGTATTACGTAAACTCCGCCTGGAGTCCCTCCGGGGGCTACTGCCAGTCCTAAGCCCGGATAAAGGAGGGTTGGGCATGGGGTTAGCGACCCCATCCCGCAGAAGGCTAACTCGCTAAAAAAACGCTAACCAGAAAAAATTATTCAGACCTTAAATAATCGGACTAACATAAAAATATCCTCAGTAAAAACAATCCAGTTAAGCTGCACAAGTTACGTATCGATATTAACACGATAGTCACCAAGACTTGGGTAAAACCCACCAAAGAAAGTCAAGATAAACCCCGTTGTAACTAACAATTAAGTTCCTATCTTATATCAGCTGATGAATTAACAATTTAAGTATGCATGAACACTGAGTCAGTTAATAAATATTAATACATTTAGAACATAATAGTTGGATGCTATTTCAAAGGTTATAGAACACCTATAGTAAAGCAATATCACCTTGAAAAAAGCCATAGTACTATCTACGCTTGCAGTTAAAAGCATACGGTGGTGCGTATTGAACTCAGTTGATACGATTGAAGCCATTGACCTTCTCTCACGATTGACATCACTAAGTCTCTTAACGCCTATTTCTTTTCCGTAAGAGAGTATTTTAGAGCTTTTCTCATCACATGCAGCAGATTTCCGAGAGGAAATGCAATCCCCTTCATCATCTGAGCCAACTGATTTCACGTTTCTAAGCTGATCTATTTTAGCAAACACGTCTAAGGCTCGTGGAGGCCTATAAAATAAGTTTACGCAACCAAACATACCGGATTGATATTTGTGGAGCAATATCATCGTCATCCGTCCACGCAGGTTTCAAAACTTGATCATCTTCCTTAGCCTTTTTTGTGCATTTTTTCTTCCCAGTCTTCGCACTTTTAATCACAGTTTTAGGTCTTTTACGCTGCCGAAATATGTAAAACAACTGTACTTACATAAAGCTTTGGAACTTTTGTTACTATTTCAAAGTCATCAGTAGAATTAGCGATGCCGAATTTCAGCATTGGTCAGCCACGCGCTGAGACTCAGAAGATGCGCTTGTCTACAAGGTCAAATGGTTCAAATGGTTGTGGACGGAATAGAAGACGTTTTCGCTTAACAGGCTTCCGTGTCTAGTAGCAGGGGATCACCAAATCCTCCAGGCAGGAACCTAGGTATGTTAACAATAAAAGAGGAAAAGAAATTGGTAAATCATAGTATGATACTGTCCTTGGTCCTTAAGAATAGGTCAAGTTGCCTCTTGAAGGACTCCTGAGAAGTCGCTTGGACTAGCTCGGCGGGCAGCGAATTCCAGCTTTTGACAACTCTTAAGGAGTAGAAGTTGTGTCTACATTCCATCTTGCTATGTTGAGTTTCCAGTTTCTGGGTGTTACCTCTTAGGTTATTATTCTAACTAAGCTTAAGTATGTGTTTAAGAGGATGTCCAGAAGTGTTAGGAATACTATAAGCCATTAATAAATCACCTCTAAGACGCCTATACTTTAATGGCTAAAGTTCTAGTGAATGGAGGCGCTCTTCGTAAGGCTTAGATTTGAGTCCTCGAACTGATTTCGAGGCTCGCCGTTGGATAAGCTCCAAAGTGACCTTGTCCTTTTGGAGTGAGGGGGGAAATACTATGTTTCTGTACTATAAATGGGGACGGATAAAACTATTGAAGATTGTATGGAAAGTTCTTCCGTCAAACTGGCCAAAAATGCGCTTCATTGTTATCAGTTCAAGGTTTGCTCGGAAGGCATTTTTGTCACAGTTAGCGTAAGACTTTAAATCGTAGGGCACCAAGACTCCTAAATCTTTTTCAACTTGGGATACTACTAGAGAGGAGTTACCTAAGTTATAACTATAGTCTGCAACATGTATCAGATGGAATACTTCACAATTTGAAGTGTTAATGGTATGTCCATTTTGATATGCCCAAATTTGAGGTCCAGTCAGTTCTCATGTGCCAGTATATCCTCTTGGTTGCGTACCACCCTCAAAAGTTTCACATCTTCAGCAAAACATGATAAGTAAGACGATACTTGTTGTGGACGACTGTTTACATAGATCAAGAAAAGAAGAGGTCCTAGTATTGAGCCCTGAGGGACCCCACTAGGACATTCCATAGCCTGAGATAAAATGAAGTTAACCCTGACCTTAAAATGTCGATTGTTCAGGTATGAAGTGAGTCAATCGATTAGAGGTAGTCTGATTCCCAATCGCCTGAGCTTGTTGATAAGACATATGTGGTCGACCCTATCAAAAGCTTTTGAGAAGTCAAGTTAAATGACATCACCCTTAAGCTTGTGATCAAGGATGCTTGTCCATCTGTCCACCTCAGTCAGCAGGTTGGTTATACAAGAATGACACTTCCCGAAACCATATTCTTGCGGTGAAAATAAGTTTAAGGATGATAACTAGTCATGTATACCGTCGCATATCAGGGACTCCATGATTTTGAGGGTATGGAGAGAAGAGCCACCGGTCGATAACTTGAAGGTTTGCTGCGTCAACCTCCTTTGAAAATTGGTGTGATGTGAGCCAGCTTCCAAATTTTCATGTAGTTTGCAAGTGTGGCATCGATTACAACAAAAAATGGTTTGTTGGTGTAATATGTTTAAAGTCGCAATACTTTGGAGGCAAAACAACCAAACATATCACAAAAAAATTTTTGCTGACAAACTACCCCAGCAAATGTCCATCAAGCGTCAGATTTCATGTCAATTTCGCGTGCATTCATGCACATCATGGGACGGGGTACGCAAATGATAGATGTAGCATAGGTAGTTTCCTAATGACGTTTACACATGATTCAGTGAATGCGAGAGGAATATATCATATTCTAAGTTGTCTTGCTGACAACTTTGATGTGATTCATAACTCCATTTTAAGTAGGGATAATTGTTGTACCGTCGTTTAAGACCTCACTGCACCATACATCAAGTGCTTGGAGTCTGCAACTCCGAGTTTGTGATTTGATTGCAATCTACGTTATGCGCTTTGTCACAAAACCGACACATTTTGACCTGTAAAAAAGCTACTGTCATGTGAAAGTGACTTAAAAATATTGATGATGCTCTATCATGAGAAGAAAGTCCTTTAGAACTTTTTTAATTGATTGGTGCACTCTCATCACACATGAAATTAACTTACAAGAATGAAGATGAACACGGTTACCCGTCAATTTTATGTTCGCTTAATTAAAAGAATATATGCTTAACTCTAAATCTAACTATCTATCACAAACCGACACACACTAAGACGAGATGGTTTATGTAGAAATTTGGATGAAGTATCATGGATTGGTACCGTGGTTTCCCGATACCAACATGGTATGGCAGAAAGGCTTCGAAAGATCTTAAAGCAATACAGACTCAAAGTGGGCTTCTAAAGAACTAACACCTTTCAAAATGCATTAGTTCATGTGAAGCATGAGATTATCTTTATATCAACAAGTAATTGTGTCTATCGATAATGGGGTTTTAATTGTGATGCATTATATTTTCAGTAAATCCTGAGTTCAGTCAAAAAACGTTTGACATGAACAAAAAGTCACCTAATAATCTGAAAGAAGTTGAAAGACTCCAAATAGCATGCTCTCTTCAAAAAGCATCCATTCTATATGAAAAATACCGTGAAAATTCACGAAAGCTTTTTCAACTGCAAAGAAAGACTTTTAGCTAAAGCTTTCTATATATTGCTAAATCCTACTGCCCCTCTCCCAATAAAATGAAAGCCTTACAACTCACCGAACCCGGACCATCTATCTGAGCTATCACATCTGGTTCTATTCACATATCACATCATCATCACACATAGAAACTCATCACTATGATCTCACATTATATGTGTCCTAAATTCCTATGAGTCGTCCAAAGTTTTGTTTTCTTACTCCGAAAAATTTACATCCTAAACATTTGCATATCCTTTGATTTGCTATATATCCTTGCCATCTATAAACCACATATAATCTGATATGTGTTTTCTAATTTTTACCATTAGTTATCTTCATAGCGCTGTGATATACTGAATGGATATCTAACTCAGAATATAGAAGCTTTAACCATCTGATCTGATTTGCTTGTAACATAGAACTAGTAGAGACAGTGTATTCCAGAAATGGGCTTAGATTAAAGCAATATTCATACACACCACAAACGTAAGAGGGCCTAACATCACAAAAGGAGGGAGGGTGGCGTTACTGACCAGCAAACATGATGGTGGGGCGATAACTGCTATCGACCTATGTCTATAGGGCAGAACATTTTGTTAAATTAAGGTTTCTTACGGTCTGGCGGAATGTCATGAACAAATGGTATTGATGCTAACTTATTATGCAAACTACCCCCTTAAATCGTGTTTGTTTGGTTTCACTTCCTATCGAGCAATCCTTTTAGAAGCGAAATCAGACAATTAGCTAAATGCGAAGCCTGCTCATGACCCTATCAAATCGATAAAAGTAAAACTGAGCTGAAATAACTTCTACAAAAAAACGAGATAGCCAGTTTTTTAGTACTTTATTTTAAAACTTCACATAATCCTATACTTTTAGCTTCTTTTTGGATCACGTCCACCTATACATTTCTTTGTCCATTCATACCGTATTTACGCTTGTTTACTTCAACCTACCAGAATGCTCTTACTTAAAAAGAATCTTAATAATAAAAAATTAAACTAAGTAGTCATACTTTCACTATTTCACCACAATATGCATGAACATTGTCTGCTTTGATTTTCGTCCCTTCTTTTTACCCTCTTTTTCAGACATCTGAAGTCATGCCACCGATAATGCATATGGAACGAGTGATTTTATCCTGCTCCATCAATAATGCCTCAGATGTTCCAGATGGATATATGGTCAGAGCTTATATATACTCTCAAAATAACGTGAATTTATACCTAACTATCTCAGCAAGTGTGAGAGCTACAGGGGTATCACTCTTCTCTTAATATCGGGAAAAGTCTTCAACTGGGTATTGTTAAACAGAATGAAGTACTCAGTAGATGCCAAACTTTTAGACAAACAGGCTGAATTCCGTAAGGATCGATCGTGTAAACACCAAGTCGTAACTCTACGGATCATTGTGGAACAATCAATTGAATGGAATTCATCACTTTACATCAATTTCATTGACTACGAGAAAGCATTTGATAGTGTGGACAGAACAACACTATGGAGGCTTCTTTGGCACTATGGAATACCTGAAAAGATACTCAATCCCATACGGAATTCCTATGACGCTAAAGACCGACGTCAGGCAAGGTTACTTACTCTCACCCTTTCTCTTTTTTTGGTGATCGCCTGTGTTATGAAGATGTCAACATCTGTGGAGAAGCGTGGGATAGAATGGACAGCACATGGACGGTCTAAACTTCACAGACGATTTGGATCTTCTATCGCACACGCAACAACAAATATAGGAGACGACCAGTGTAGCAGCAGCCTCAGCAATAGTAGGTCTCAATAAACACAAACGAAAAATCAAGACCCCCGATACAACACAGCATGCAACAATCCAATCAAGCTGAACGTAGAAGATTTGGAAGATGTAAAAACCTTTACATATCTTGGCGGCATCATTGATGAACATGATAAATCTGATGCAGGTGTGAAGGCGCTGATAGGCAAAGCAAGAGTAGTATGTGTACAACTGAAGGACATCTGGAACACAAAACAACTGTCCACAAGCCAACACCAATGTCAGAATTTTCAATAGAAATGTCAAAACAGTTCTATAGTATGTGGCGTAGACTAGGAGAACTACGAAAGCCATCATCTAGAGGATACAAGTTTTTATTAAAAGTTATCGACGCAAAATACTTCGAATCCGTTGGTCAGACACTATGAGCATCAACCTACTTTGGGAGAGAATAAACCAGACCCCAGAGGAGGAAGAAATCAGGAAGAAGTGCTGGAGGTGGATAGGACACATACTGAGGGAAACACTCAACTGCATCACAAGGCGAGCGCTATCTTGGACTCCCCAATGACAAAAGAGAAAATGAAGACCGAAGAGCACACTACGCCTAGAAACGGAGACCGACATGAGAGGAATGAACAAAAAGTGAATAGGACTAGAAAGGAAGACCCAGGACAGAGTAAGTTGAAGAATGCTGATCGGCAGCCTAGGTTTGATTGGGGGCAACAGGCGGACGCAATTAAGTAAGAAAGAAAAGTATTGACGCAGGTGTTTTAAACAGAAAATACTTCACTGCCCTTAGAAGCTGTGAGATTAGTAATTTATTGATACGTGATAAAAACATAGACACAATGCAAGCACTAAAACTGTCAGGCAGCAACAAGACATACAACCCGATAACTTGACTGTTTTTATTAGACCCCCACATCCGTATTTTGTCAACTAGTCACAACTCACAATACCGCGCATTTGACGGGGCTAAATTATTAACCAGTCAAGAATGGAGACTAGAGAATATATTACGTCACGAAATAGAAACAGATATAAAAAGAATGAGTGACGACTGGAAATACGTAAGAAGGATTTCCCAGGTTTGGGTTAGATGACGAGCCCTGGTGGGTGGCCTGTGCTCCTCCACAGGAAGTAACAGGCGTAGGAGCAAGAAAATAGAGTACATCCTGTTATGTCTGTAAATGTTGTGCTCACCATCAACACCACGGGTAACTAAGATGACTAGATGTTAAATGGTATATTAATCAAATGAAATATGACTCGGTGAGAAAACTTGTCCGATAGCCTTCACTAGGTTGTTAAAACAGTAAAAACGAAATATTCAAATGTTTACAAAGCAAACCACCTAGGGGAAACCTATATACTGAACACAGTTGTGCACTTAGTCATTTGAAAAGTAAAACATTTACACCAATATACGATTCCACAGGGAAAAACCGATTATCTGAATTCAGATTCAGGGCTAATATTTTGTCTAGAAGATGGTCATGAGTGAAAACTCTCCTGAAATTGTCTACCACAACCTCAGCATTGTCCTGGTCTTCCTCCGTTGACTGAGATCCACACTATACTGTAATTGCGTTGAGGAATTAATGGTGCGTCCTTATTCTGTAATTTATGTACAAGAACAGTCTCTTTGGCTGCCTGGTTTCAGATTGTGTCAACCTATTTCCACATTTTTACTGAACTACCTGGGTTGCACCTCTACACTTATTTCTGACCGACCTGAAACGTTTCATCGTATTTGCTGTGCCAAGGCTGATGACAGCGCTCCAAAACGTTTTTTCATCCTAATGATCGTCGGACCTCATGGTTCATCTATAAATGAGAGTGATTCTTCTCTAGGACTGTCAGGATGCAAATAATTGAGTTACATGACTGCAATGATGAGATCACGTCTCTCCTACCTATGAGATCATGTTATTTAATTTTTAAATCTGCCTGACTGCAAATACCTATTCTCAAATCACCAGTTCCTGATGCACAGATTATTAGATCACTTGAGAGCTACCCTTGTTTTAACCATCCAAATCGGAAGTTCCAGAAATCACTATATAAATTCGTCAGCTGTTTGCACAGTCTTCATTACTGAATTCGAAAGTACTCGAAAAATGCAAATATTTGTAAAGACATTGACAGGAAAGACGATTACGTTGGAGGTGGAGCCTAGTGATACTATTGAGAATGTGAAAGCGAAGATCCAAGACAAAGAAGGTATTCCTCCTGACCAACAACGTTTGATATTCGCTGGTAAGCAGTTGGAAGATGGACGTACTCTGTCTGACTACAACATCCAGAAAGAGTCGACTCTGCATCTTGTCCTTCGTCTACGTGGTGGAATGCAAATCTTTGTGAAGACGTTGACTGGTAAGACGATCACGTTAGAGGTTGAGCCTAGTGATACTATTGAGAATGTGAAAGCGAAGATCCAAGACAAAGAAGGTATTCCTCCTGACCAACAACGTTTGATATTCGCTGGTAAGCAGTTGGAAGATGGACGTACTCTGTCTGACTACAACATCCAGAAAGAGTCGACTCTGCATCTTGTCCTTCGTCTACGTGGTGGAATGCAAATCTTTGTGAAGACGTTGACTGGTAAGACGATCACGTTAGAGGTTGAGCCTAGTGATACTATTGAGAATGTGAAAGCGAAGATCCAAGACAAAGAAGGTATTCCTCCTGACCAACAACGTTTGATATTCGCTGGTAAGCAGTTGGAAGATGGACGTACTCTGTCTGACTACAACATCCAGAAAGAGTCGACTCTGCATCTTGTCCTTCGTCTACGTGGTGGAATGCAAATCTTTGTGAAGACGTTGACTGGTAAGACGATCACGTTAGAGGTTGAGCCTAGTGATACTATTGAGAATGTGAAAGCGAAGATCCAAGACAAAGAAGGTATTCCTCCTGACCAACAACGTTTGATATTCGCTGGTAAGCAGTTGGAAGATGGACGTACTCTGTCTGACTACAACATCCAGAAAGAGTCGACTCTGCATCTTGTCCTTCGTCTACGTGGTGGAATGCAAATCTTTGTGAAGACGTTGACTGGTAAGACGATCACGTTAGAGGTTGAGCCTAGTGATACTATTGAGAATGTGAAAGCGAAGATCCAAGACAAAGAAGGTATTCCTCCTGACCAACAACGTTTGATATTCGCTGGTAAGCAGTTGGAAGATGGACGTACTCTGTCTGACTACAACATCCAGAAAGAGTCGACTCTGCATCTTGTCCTTCGTCTACGTGGTGGAATGCAAATCTTTGTGAAGACGTTGACTGGTAAGACGATCACGTTAGAGGTTGAGCCTAGTGATACTATTGAGAATGTGAAAGCGAAGATCCAAGACAAAGAAGGTATTCCTCCTGACCAACAACGTTTGATATTCGCTGGTAAGCAGTTGGAAGATGGACGTACTCTGTCTGACTACAACATCCAGAAAGAGTCGACTCTGCATCTTGTCCTTCGTCTACGTGGTGGAATGCAAATCTTTGTGAAGACGTTGACTGGTAAGACGATCACGTTAGAGGTTGAGCCTAGTGATACTATTGAGAATGTGAAAGCGAAGATCCAAGACAAAGAAGGTATTCCTCCTGACCAACAACGTTTGATATTCGCTGGTAAGCAGTTGGAAGATGGACGTACTCTGTCTGACTACAACATCCAGAAAGAGTCGACTCTGCATCTTGTCCTTCGTCTACGTGGTGGAATGCAAATCTTTGTGAAGACGTTGACTGGTAAGACGATCACGTTAGAGGTTGAGCCTAGTGATACTATTGAGAATGTGAAAGCGAAGATCCAAGACAAAGAAGGTATTCCTCCTGACCAACAACGTTTGATATTCGCTGGTAAGCAGTTGGAAGATGGACGTACTCTGTCTGACTACAACATCCAGAAAGAGTCGACTCTGCATCTTGTCCTTCGTCTACGTGGTGGAATGCAAATCTTTGTGAAGACGTTGACTGGTAAGACGATCACGTTAGAGGTTGAGCCTAGTGATACTATTGAGAATGTGAAAGCGAAGATCCAAGACAAAGAAGGTATTCCTCCTGACCAACAACGTTTGATATTCGCTGGTAAGCAGTTGGAAGATGGACGTACTCTGTCTGACTACAACATCCAGAAAGAGTCGACTCTGCATCTTGTCCTTCGTCTACGTGGTGGAATGCAAATCTTTGTGAAGACGTTGACTGGTAAGACGATCACGTTAGAGGTTGAGCCTAGTGATACTATTGAGAATGTGAAAGCGAAGATCCAAGACAAAGAAGGTATTCCTCCTGACCAACAACGTTTGATATTCGCTGGTAAGCAGTTGGAAGATGGACGTACTCTGTCTGACTACAACATCCAGAAAGAGTCAACCTTACATCTTGTTCTGCGCCTACGTGGAGGCATGTGATTTCTGTTGAAGTAAAATTAGAAAATAAATTTTAGTTTGATTTTATTTCTCAATGTAGTTGTGTTCTTGCGAGCTTCGAATGATGTCGGTCTGTTGTATTGTACTAACTAGTGCGTCTTAGCAGTGTGATTCGGTCGATGGATATTCGAGCTTTTACAGATTTCAGCAAAGTCATTCATGGTTTAATCATGTTGTAGAACTAGTCGTTTGGACACAATGTGTTTGATGACATAGGCATTAGAAGTTTTATGGTATTGAGTAAGGATACGCGTTTTGAAATTTGTGTGAAAGTAATCGCAAATAAAGTGATTGTCATATTACAAACGACATTGCATAGTCCTGTACTGTAGTTATCGACCGCATATCGGACTTGAGTTTGTATGTCTAACCCACTCAGTGTCTTCTTAGTTTCCGTTTTAGCTGGTTTGTTCTCTCCCGCGGTAGGCTGTTGCTGATGGTATCATGCCAACGGACAATGAGTATCTTGTGTAGAAAGTTGCTTATAAATATCTGTACCCTTTTGATGGTGGTTGTAATAGTTCTCGGAGCTTGAGCTCTGTACAGTAGAACTGTCTTGACGTTCGTATTGAAGATCCTGACTTTGATATTGGTTTATAGACAGTTGTTTTGAGTTCCATATATTTTTCAAATGTAGGAATGCTGTACTTGCTTTACCAATCCTCGCCTTACATCTGCATCAGGTCCTCCTTGTTCACCGATGATGCTTCCTAGGTACGTGAAAGACCACATCTTCCAAAGTTTCTGCATCAATTGTAATTGGATTGGTGTTCTCCGTGTTGCATTTGAGGATCATGAGTTTTCCCTTGTGTATGTTGAGGTCTACTGCTTCAGAGGCTGCTGCTACACTGGCTGTCTTGATATGCATTTGTTGATGTGTACGGTATTGAAAGGCCAGGTCATCTACGAAGTCCGAACTGTCTAGTTGCATACAACCTGTCCATTGTATTCCGTGGTTTCCTTGAGATGTGGACGTCTTGATAATCCAATTAACCACAAGAAGAAATAGAAAGGAGGAGAATAGATAGCCTTGTTTGACTCCGGTCCTTAATTGGAATGTGTCTGTCAGCTGTTCTACATGCACCACTTTGCACTGTAGTCCGTCGTATGAATTCCGTATGATGCTGACGGTGATCTTAGCTACTCACTCCATAGTGTCGAAGAAGTTTCCATAAAGTCCTCCTACATACACTGCCTAGTAATTTCTCGTAGTCAAGGAAGTTGATGTATAGTGACGAGTTCCATTTAATCGATTACTAAACAATGATCCTGGTGTCGCGATTTGGTCTATGCACGACCGATCCCTACTGAATCAGGTCTGTTGATCTTGAAGCTGAACGTTTACTGAAATTTCCATCCAGTCCAATAACACTCTTTTGAAACCTTTCCTGGTATGGATAGTAGTGTGATGCCCCTGTAGCTCTCACACGTGCTCAGATCTTTTTGTGGTATCTTGATGAAATATCCTTCTTTCTAGTTTATCTGTGGCACTTGTTCTTCCCCCGAGATCTTTCTAAATAGAACGTGGACTGTTTGAAGTTACTTCTATATCTGACTGCCGTAGCAGCAGACAACTGTTAAGACTTGTCAAGGTTACAGGTATTATGAATCCAACTTTTAGCGAAACTATCTCGGGAAAAGATGAACATATTACTCACTCTCAGTCCAGGAGATTGGATCGATGGGCAGAACACTTTGGGGATCATTTCAACTGGCCTTCAACCACACTTCGGTTTCCCTCAATCTACAGTCGACCTGAATGGCATGTTGATGTAGGTCCTTCAACACTTAACAAAGTTGAAAAAGCTGTAGGAAATCTGAAGCGAGGGAGAGCAGCAGGCCCTGACAGGTTTACCTCTGAGATTTTTAAGGATGGCGGTTCAGTATTGGCAGTGAGATTGACTAAGGTCTTATGTAGAATCTGGGAACTGGACGTAATCCCGTCTGACTGGTCTCAATAAGTGATTATGCTAGTCTATAAGAAGGCACAAAAGTCCTCTTGTGACAATCACAGAGGGATCGGTCTGACTAATACAGTGTATAAAATATTAGCTTTAATAATACTTCGACGCCTAACTAAAGCTCGTGCAGAGCAGACTAGAGAAAACCGGGCTAGTTTCCGACTTGGACGTGGCTGTATAGACCAGATAATCCTAATTCGTCAGATCCTAGAACATAGATAAACATTCAGATTTTCCAAAATAGTAGTATTTTTCGACTTAAGGCGGCATTTGACTCTGTTACTCCGACAAGCGATGTTTTATGGTGTAGGAGTAGGATGGAAGAAAGCAAGGGGCGGCCAGACCAAACATGTCACAAATACATGAATTGGATTAAAGATCAGTTTTCAGTAATAAATATTATAGGTTGGAGGTTGATTTGGCTGTAGCAATTCTTACACTAGATATTTCTGTTAAGCTTGGGTTTCTTCTCAAAAGGCTCATTGATGAAACCGATATGACTTGTCCGGATAGAGGATCTTGTCGATGATCACTGAGAAAATAGAATCCTATCTTGTGTGTGTTTAATTGTGAGTCTTTTTACCTTTATGTGAAGGTATCGAGGATGGTTAATCTTCAAGCTAACAAGAAGGTAGACATGTCAGCACATAACCGATCATTCAGGGTACGAAATTCCAATGTAACCTGACCTCACATTTGATTATAAGGTAGAGAATTTAAGTGTTGTAATTTCTTATGATGCGAGAAACTGGTCAGAACATTTACTGTGTTATTACTTACTTGTCAGACATGCTCGAGAGTGTCAGAATCTTTAAAAAGACATGGATTAGCTGCGTGTATGCATTATTTTAAGTGAAGTATCAGGTGAGTGGGGTATGAAATCTGAAAAATATTTTCGTCAAGGCATCTAAAGATTTTGTGAAGTGACCATACTACGCAGCACCATTTAGCAGCTGTTGCATTGTAGTGTGAGGTGTTTTTCAAGTCACGACTTAAAGTTTCTAGGTGTTCTTAATCTTGTGAGAGTGGCGTTCCATTTGTCATGTAATTCTGGTCGTCGTTGTTGTTATCGTTGTGGCTGAAGTGCGCTCGGTCACTTTCTGATATTGGTCTTCCAATCCAAACTTTGTGAGCACCTAGCTCATTCATTTGAATCAGCTTACTCTCGAGCTTAGTATTATCACTACTTATTATTCTCCAAACTTTTATATCATCTAGAAAGTATATTGTGGTCATCCCACTGAACACATTTGACCAGAGAACTGAATTAATATCGTATGGATCATTCAGATCGACAAGATCCTCTATCCGAACAAGTCATATCAGCTTCATCAATTAACCTTTTGAGAAGAAACTAAAGCTTAACAGAAATATTTAGTGTCAGAATTGCTACAGCCAAATCAACGTTCAATCTATAATATTTATTACTGAGAACTGATATTTAATTCAACTGACAACACTAAATCGATTTGCCAAATGTAGTCTGAGTAAAAGAAAACTAAAAATGCTTCCAAGCTACCCACAATATTTTTTGTATAATTACAACGTCAAATAAGAGTGTTGTCTCAGTTCCTAGATTATACACTTTACTCAGGCAAAGTAATAAAATTAAACGCCATGTTAATTACTTTAAGGGAGAGAAATAACTTGGTTATGCACTGTGGATTCGAAATATTATAAACCTGAGGGGTAAACAATTCTTAGTTTTACTCTGAATGCATGATGTAGTATCAATGTACCAAGTATGTTTTTTGATTGTGTAACTGATATGACGGCCTATGCTCGATTGGGAGTAACAGGTGTAAGTAAGTAACTGATATGAGGTTGTCACATGGAAAAGACCTTTTGGACGTTAGCCCAACTAGCTTTGAAGTCTAGCTTATGAAGATTATTTATTCTTGCTTATGATCAGGCACCTCAATCTTTTTTGATCAGTATTACGTTTAAAAAACCAAGATTGTCTGCTGACCGTTCAGATGGATTTGTTACGAAAATTAAGTTGTTAATAGGTATTAACTAAGGCGATTTCAAGCAAATTTACTAATGTATACCGTAAATGTGACATTTAGTGAAGCATATCTCACTAGATGGTATAATCCTTTTAGTATCTATCAATGCATAGTAGGACAACATAACGATGGATTGTTAGTTAAAACATCCCACTTTCAACTAATAGGTTTTGGGTGCAAGACCGCTCCATACTTAAGTTTGGATAACCGAGTATTATCAATGAATCTCAAACATTGACTAGGAATGCACTTACATATAATGAGAGCCAAGATCTTTAGGTCTGCAGAAGAACACCATAGTGTCAGACCACTTTAGTCCATTTCTTATAAACCGCAATCCTCATCTACTGCTACCACTGACTTTTCATCTCAACGTGGATCTGATTAGATTCACATGTCGTAAATATCTACTAGGATTCGAGGAAATGCATGGCAGTCACCAATTAAAACAAGATGATAATCCAGACAACTTTTGCTGTAGCCCTCTTAGGGTTTATGCCAGTCCCAAGCCCGAACAATGGAGAAGGGTTGGACATGAAATAAACAACCCCACTACATAGAAAACAACCTTGCTAAAAGCACACTAACCAGAGTGAACAATTTAAGCCATTTGAGATCTTCCCTGAGAGTAGGGGGATCTTCATTCAGAAGGATTATGATGCCTCATGGTGAGAGTCGAGATTATTCGGAAGTAACGAGGCCGATGCCCCTTCTAACAACCAGAGCAACAGCTAAGATCGGTACATGAAATGTCTGGACAATATGGTAGACCGATAGGATCAATCAAATAGCTACGGAAATCAGGATATACAAATTGGAGGTGTTCGGAATCAGTGAAACCTATTCGATCCAAGCCGGACAGAAAGGATTAGATTCGGGAGAGATGTTGTTGTCATGAAGAAGAAAACGCTCCACACACTCAGGAAGTTGCATAGATGCTGTCCAATGAAGCACGGAAAACACTTATAGGATGAGAATCTCATGGATCGAGAATCATCAAAGCATCCTTCAAAACGAAGGAGATCACAAAGAATCCTATCCAATTTAATGCACCCACCAATTA